GGTCTATTAGAGGGGATTTCGTATGAGTGGGACACCGTTACCGCACGGTTACCGCACAGTTACCGGACCTGGCCTGCACAATTTTTGTGAACCAATGGGGCACTAGAATTTGKTTACAGWACKAYWACGGTCACAGTACAGTACCGTCCGTTTCCCACTCATACGAAATCCGCTCTATATTTTGAACTTTAGGTAGTCAGCCCCGATTGGAAAAAATCTCATAATAGGTTGAGAAAACAATGGACAAACAATAGATAAGCTTTCAAACAATAGATGAGCCCTCAAACAATAAATAAACAAAACACAACAACAACAACAACAACAACAACAACAACAAAACAACTAACCTAACACTGGAGTTGCTGTACGTAATCTACCAGCTACAGTATACTTTAGGTCGATGCTTCGACTTACTTAGCCTGTGTACATCCGTTTCTCACCCCTCAAAAAATCGGGGAGAGATTTTTTGAGGGGTGAGAAACGGATGTACACAGGCTATGACTTACTCCAAATCGAGCTTTATTTGTTTTGACACGYATTATGCACCATTTACATTGTCTACAGTTTTAATGCAAAGAAGTCCACACTCACCACTCCATATCTGCAGGTTCCACCGACAACCATCCACTGTCTGTCTGAATCAATACAATACACAGTAGAATCATGTGGATCTTCCCATTTTAACACACACGCACACCTAAAGTAAAAAGTATGTTWACGCGCAAGAAGCTMAACTCTTGGTTGGAACTAGCGGTAAACTARTGTGAGCTGCGTCGGTGTTTCTCGACGGATTAACGTCCGAAACGTCAGTAAGTTATTTCACATACTTTTTTTACGGTRTTAAATTTATCTTTTTTATACAACTGTTCAACTCTTGGTTGTTTGTTAGTACATTGAGAATGTCAAGGATCGGTTTTTTAAGATATCTGTGTGAAAAAAGGTCCGTTTGAAGTGAAGAATGGAATCAAGTGAACGGARTTGAGGAAGACTGAAAAATACAGAGGGAGAGATACAAAGGAAATAAAGGAGTGAAGGAGGGAAACGGAGAAAAATCTTTCGAAAGCTAGAACTATTTTTGTAACTTTTAGCACAAATCAAGTTGGCCAGTGGTACATAGAAGCTTTTAGTTTACAGTTCAAATGCTTTTGGCGAATTAATAAATATTAGCAAAAATATTGTTTGCGTACGATTACAAACTGTTGCTCGTATTATACTCATTTTAGTTATTGCTAAAATATCCTTAACCTGTGTAGAAGATCTTCCTCTCCTTATCCTCCTTTCCTTCAACCTTTTTCAAGCGAATATATCGTCTTCTTTAAGAGATATTAAGAATACTAATGTCTCGGGAGTTACCTTGTGTTAACTCTCGTATCCCAGTATCTGATATAAGTATCATATCCACATGAAAGAAAAGTGAAGGGGGATTCCCATAGTACTGATAACACTCCTGCACCCAAACGATGGCATTCTGGTTCCAAATTTGTCACCAATGCACCACTGTTTTAAAAATAGTAAGTAATAGGAAGTCAGCTGCAATGTTGGAACTGTTGGGTGAATCTCATGGATGAATCTCATCATTGAGGCCTAGTTATTGTTTTTTACAGTGTCTCCCTTGTTCAATAAAAATATACCTTWACCTATAGCGTTTTTACCTTTAGTTCTCCCCAAAATCCCATAATCAATAGTGCTTGCTCGCCTGGTTACTGAAAATATATGTATGTGCTATCCCTAAAATGCTGGGAACTCGACAAATCAGCTACTTTGGAATCAAAACTATAGAGAGATTATGTTATACACCTTTGACAACTCTTTGAAAAACCTCCACCACCCAGTCTGTGCAGCGCCTGGGGGCTTGAGTAGTATCACATGTAGCATAGTGAAAGCAKTACAATTATTATGGTAGGATGTTTAACTGCTTCTTAAAGGAGAATTAAAGTACTGATAAATGTGCATTAAATGACAGAATGCTATACTTTGTCAAACTCCACAACTGAAGAGCAGGAACATCGTTGGAGTATCCAGCTGAACCACTTACAACAGTACTGTTGATAGACCAAAATAATGAATTAGAATATGCCATAGTTAGTCATATTTGAGAGTATATTTTACCAGTCTGTGAAATATAATCTAATTAGTTACAACTTTYAGTGTCCATTTAGATACAACATTACTCTCCAACACATACCAAGGAAGCAATACATTGTCTTGTCATTATAACTTTACGTATCTAATATATATATAACGGTCATTCATTGTAAATTGCCTGATGAGTGTGGGTCAAACCATACGAAACAGGYCTGTAGCAATAAATCAATGGATCATATTCGAAGCGTTTAGCTCAGTATTTTATGTATAAATTGCTCCTTTAAGTTGAGCACTATGAAAAATTATTCTTCAATATTAAGTTTGTGTAATATATATATACATATATAATCACTGTTGAATTAAGACTAAGAAAAATTTTTAGGTAACACCCAATAGTGGAGCTGCATAAAAAGACTCTGTTTATCAGCATCTACTTGCCTGGCTTCAGGGTAAACAGTGTCACTTTGAAATGTTCCGCAAGAAAATGAGAATTGAGCAATGTCCTTCTATTTGTCCTAGGTTGAATTTAGGGYTAGGCTTTAAATTATGATAAAATTCGTCAACTCAACTTCTCATGCTCATTAATTATTCATAAGCTATTCAGCCAATCCCAGATTGTAATTTTTACTACATGCAGTAAATGGAAACCAGAGGAAGTACTCCTACCTTGTATTCTTCCTTATTTCCTATGTAACTCTACCTTACTTCCAGTTACTTCTATCTTATTTCCAGTTACTTCTACCTTGTTTCCAGCTACTAACTAGC